AAAATTCCCCTTCTGTAAAATTCCATTCCAGCCATCCGAAGACACTGACACACTACTTTCTGAATTGCCTCCCTTGTCTCAAAATGTCCATGCAGCTGATCCTTCACAAATCCAAAAAGATGATAGTCGGAGGGTGCCAGATCAGGGCTATAGGAGGGGTGTAGAAGAACTTCCCACCCCATCTTTGCAATTGCTTCCAATGTGACCTTTGTGGTCTTCGGTCAATAACTGTGGGACCCAACGAGCACAAAATTTCCTACTGCACTATGCCCTATTCTATTTTTCGGGCTATTGTGTCCACAGTCACATGCCTGTCATCTTGAATGTTCTCATCCACTATTTCCTTGTTGCGTTCAGTTGAAGCTGTTCGAGGACGACCGCTCCGAGGCTCATCTTCGATGCTGGTGTTCCCATCTTTAAAATGTTTCACCCATCTTTGAACACTGCTCACACCTATGCACACACTTCCATAAGCATGCTGAATTCAGAAAGCAGTGCGTCAGTGTCTTCGGATGGCTGGAACGGAATTTTACAGAAGGGGAATTTTCAAACTCCCAGAACGCTGGGAGAAATGTGTACAAAGATGTGGCGATTGTGTGGAAAAATAAAGAAAGATCTGTAGATTGAGGTGGTGTATTTGGTTTGTCAATAATAAAGCATGTTACTTTACAAAAAATTGTTCCTCATGACTTTCAGTATGACCTACATATATGGAGGCAATATATGATTGAGTTATGCATATTTACTGTCCAAATAAGTGACTAATATTTTATATTTAATTCTGAGAATACACTGTACACAACTTAAGAGTTTGTGATGTCATCATAACACCTTCATTAGAATAGTCATATAAATTACGTTAAGGACAGTAAAGGTAAAGTTGTCTCTGTATTCAAGGACCGTGCTATAGTTGTAAATGGAAGAGCACAGGTGTAGCTCCAAGGTTAACCTCAGCAGTAGATGGAGATGGTGGATCAGCTTCACATTCCTGTGTAAAGAGATACCAACTAGAAAAGAAAAGCAGCTGGATGGGCCCCAGAGTTGGTCGGATGCAGTGGAGAAGAGAGAAACTTTCCTTGCCGGGGGGTTCAAACCTCAGCTGTCCAGCCCATGGTCACTTTATTGACTGAGCTGTCTTAACTCTGAATTGAAACTTCTTTTTTATGGGGGCTGCTATCTTCTGGGATGTGACACCATGTAGTTTGGTAGACATTCTGATAAATTTCTACAAGGCTAGATGGCATGGCATCACAGAAGTTACTCTTCATCGTCATTACTATGAGAACTTTAGGTATTACATGAATTTGCCTTAGAATTTTATATTGAGTAAATATAAAATACTTAAAAATATGAAGATACAACTGTTATTCATGCGCAAGTTATGTTTTGAACTTGAGATGGAATATATATCAACAAAGTCACTGTTTGCCATTAAGGCACTGAGGCTTTATTTCTCATACATATTTCACGTTTTTGAAATGGACCTAGAAAGAACATATTTTGGTTCACAGTTCATTCCCTACATTATTGTATTCACAGGGAAAATAGCAAAGTTTCAGTAGTCATCGGCTGTACATGGATCTGTTCAACAGTGGTGAATTCAAAATACCGACTTCATTTAGTTTTGAAAGGACCAAAGAATATTTAACAGTACAAAATAATTTGAGCTGGGATAGCGTAGTTTCAGTATAGTGACTGACTATGGGCTGGAAAACCAAGGGGTCGGAGTTCTGAGTCTGGTGGGGCAAGAATTTTTACATCTCCGTTTTATCCAGACCGGCTGTTGGGTACACCCAACCTCCTATCCAATTAATACTGGGGGTTCTTTCCCCAGGGTAAAGCATCAGGGCCGTGAAGCTGACCACTCACCTCTAGCTAGTACCGAGGGCAAGAAAATGTGGATTTATACATCCATTCCCCCATATGCCTTCATGACATAGTGCTTAATTAGTTAAGCACAGGGACAGCTTTACCTTTTACAAAATAATATGGCATATAAATGGTGTAATCTTTGCCCTGAACAAAACAAATTTTGGACGAACATTTAGAGTATCTTTATTTTACTTCTTGTTCCACAGATACAATTTACATTGTTATGGTCTGTATACCTATATTAATTATATTGTGCATGCATGCGCGCACATGTGCACAGCCATTATATAATGGGTTTCACTTAATGGTTTGAGCCTTGAAGACTTTAACTTGACATATTGGTTTGTTCATCGAATGTTTCTGAGGACAGAAACAAGGAGCCCTCTGCCACAAACTGGTGTGTTCTAATTGATTAATTGAGACTTAGAGACCAGTTTGTTGCTGAAGTTTAAATGGGGGTGATAAAACTGCTTCAAGTCTGTTTTTGTAATTACAGAGCTCTTAAATCTTGAAAAATTATACTGTCTTGTGGGATATGACACTGTACTCTGGTAGAGGCTTATAGTTATTTTGGGGGAACATTAATAAACTTGTAAGATTTGAGGTTTTCATGGCAGTGACTATGAAGAATGTCATCTTCTGGGATGTGGCACTGTGTAGATATTGTGTAAACTGACATTTCAGAGAAACGTATCGCCTCCATCTTTAGGGTAGAAAAACCCACGAGCGAGAAACCAGCGTGAGCAGGTGGCTGCAGACTGAGTCAGCATTAAAAATCACCCAGCTATATAAGAAGAGGAAGGGAGGGATAGTGGGCCACATGGGAAATCAATATAGAGGAGAGGTCTGTGGAGATGGGCCAGTAGGTAGCAGGCCAGAGCCAGTATGGGATCGTGTCATGGAGGCGAAAGAAAGGCAAGGTTACTGGTTACCGGGAGAGCATTGACCCAATAGTCTTGGGACTAAGCTGCCGAGCATGCATCAACCTGTGTGGCCCTGTAGATCTGGTATCATATTCCAGAGGTTTCTTGAGGGAGCAGATTATGAGGCTTCCATGACTTGCTGAGACAAATCTCCACCTCTTTGTTCATATTGTTGGGATGGAGCTCAATCTCAGCAGCCTCCTTAACAATGTGATCCATGTATTGGGTCTTAGTGGTGAGAAGGGAAGTATTGTGAAACTGAATGCGGTGTCCCAAGTCAACGCTGTGTCCAGCCACAGCTGACTTGTCTGGATGTTCAAGACGGATGTGCCGCTGATTCTCTTTCAACCTTGTGTCCATGGAACAGCCTGTCTGCCCAACGTAGACCTTGCCACACTCACAGGGGATTCTGTATACACCCGGTGTCCTTAGTCCCAGGTTATCTTTGACCAGCTAGAGGAAACTAGATAATTTCTTGGGAGGCAGGCCCACTGATGTGATGATGTTGCTGGGACAGCACTCTGCTTATTCGGTTGAATATAGTCCTAACATAGGGCAGGAAGGCAACCGAGTCTGGTTTATCATCAGGCTGACTGATATTCAGATGATGGTTGAGGACTCTGTGGATCTGCTGGTCATTGTAACTGTTCTGCCTGAAAACGTCCCTCAGGAACACCAACTCTGCATGTAGGCTGTCTTCATCACATAGAGCTCTAGCCCTGTGCACCAGTATGGCAAGTACAGCCTGCTTGTAAACTTCTACCATACTACATGATGTCACATTCTGGAAGATGGTACTCTTTAATGATCATCCCCTTGACAGCCTCAGATGTTATTGGTTTCACCCTCATGACTGGTGAATGAACCTCTGGATTTAGTTAATATTCACCCTGTTGAATATCAGTTGTTTCAAGAGAACATTTTTATGTCTCATGAAGCTGAAAAAGAATATATTACTCCAGAAAGCAGATCATGAGTAGACACTTATATGAAGATTTTTAGCTAATAGTTGTGGGCTTATCTGATTTGAAAGGTCATATAGAAATTGCACTATTAACTGTGAAGACATTTGAAGATTAATCATCTCTTTTGATACTAATGTGATAATTTGTATTTATTAAAAATTTATCCTTTGTTTATAATGTATAGCCACGGAGAAAGCTGGTTCAATTATTTTCTCATGCATTGTGTTTCATTGCTACTGAATATTTCTTATGTCATGTCAGAATATTAGCTTATTTATTTGTTATAAAAAGTGCAATTCCCTCCTTGCTATCCAGTGGAAAAAAACTGTTGCTGCTTAACCAACAAGAAATAAAAATGTGCAGTTGTTGGTACTGTTTTATAATATTTCTAAAGGTTTACATGCCCTTCTGAAACTTGTACAGTTTTTTTAACATCTTAGAATAATGATTAGATTAACAGATTATCATTTACCATATGAGTATAGCATGGTCAGTAAACAATTTTCAAGATAATGTACATTAAGTTAAGTACTCTTAACTGTCAAAATAATGTCTTATCAGTATGACACTATGCATGGAATTATGCAATGAAATGTCCTTGCTGCTCCTGATATTAAATATTTAACTTTCTTGTGTAAACTCTTTCATGAATACTATTTATGCTTTAAATGCAATGCATTCACTGCCATATCATTTTAAATAGACAATAACTACAAAATCTTATTTTAGGTTAACTATGAGATGTGATGTGGGGAAGGAAAGATATCACTTTCCTGTTTTGTGTGTATAATTTCAGGTAGATAATCTGGTTTTCTTGCACTTTACACTTTGCAAATCACTTGAAGTGTCTGAATACTGTTACTTAGATAATGTTCCATTCCACATTTGAATTGTTTTTAACCATAGAAGACTTAAAAATTGTATATTTTGCTTATGTTCATTCTATTATCACGTATGGTGTTGCCTTTTGGGGAAACGTGGCTAGTAGTAAAAATGTTTTTATAATATAAAAAAGAATTATAAGAAACATTATGAATGTGAATCCTAAAATATCTTGTCGGGGACGTTTTAGACGCCTAAATATACTGTCCTTTTATTCACAATATATGTTTTCTTTATTGTTATTGGTAGTAAAAAAATACACCGATTTGTAATTAATAATGAAATACTAAATACATGACAAAGTACTAATTTACACATACCATCGGTAAATTTTTACCAAATGCAAAAAGGGTGCCTATTATATGGGTATATAAATTTTCAGTCATTTACCGCGTAACATAAGGGAACTGTTATATGATGTTAAAATATTCATGCTTTCATGAACTTTTCCCATGTCTCGGTTCCAACTTCTCTTGCTGCTCCTTTCTTAAGGCCGCTAGTCCAAGGGATTCCCTGATAAGGTGTGAGCCAGGCTAGGTGTGCCACCATCAAACCTCGATCTGTTTTCTCAACAGCTGCTGAATTGTGTTGTCATAGCATACAACACACATCAACTCACCACTGTTCCCAGTTGCTACACAAAAACAATCACTCTGCTGGTTATTTGCCAGACCTCAAAAACTCAGGCAGAGTAGATGAAGGTTTAATGACAAGAGTTAGGATACCTGTTTTAGAGAAATGGCCTGTACATCAGTATCTTCACAAGCACTTAGTGTTGATGGTACTAAAGTGAGGAATTTGAAACTGCTCATGAGGGAAATCCTGGTGAAATATAGACAATGACTACAAGAATTGTGGAGCTCTGATACTAAATCCAAATTGACCAAAACAGCAAGAAGCAACAGTTAAAAGTTCAGAAGTCTTACCTTTGTCACAACAGACCTCTCCACCAGACTTGGCACGGTTGGACTGCAGATCAGTATACTGAATGGCTGAAAATTGTTATGGTTGTATGAGAATATGTCAGGGCCAGAAACTTTCCCACTTCATGACAGCACTGAATGTAACATCATCCTGTAACAAAGAACAGAAGAGAACATTTGGTACATTGACCACTACCTCTACCATCATTATTAACACATTCAGGACCGGAGGGGCCAATTGGCCCTCTATGTTTCTATAGTATTGCGGACCGGGCGGGCCAATTGGCCCTTTTCTGACGCGTTATGTTGCAACCGACTATATCTCGCTGTGTGGCCATGTTGCATCATAACTACTGTGTAGTTGACCTCAGGAATGTTTGCTAGTTTAGCCAGTAACATGATCATGCTCATTTCTTGTCACACCCTAAAGAAAAAAGCCTTTGTTCGAGTCCAAGCTTCCACGTATGAACCAGGAAGTTAGCAGTGCAACATGGATCAGAGACGAAAGCAGTTGCAGGCGAAGCATTCTGTCGGAGAACAAGAAATATTAGATTTGTTCTCCGATGAGCTATCAGATTTGCCAACTGCTTCGTCTTCTGATAGCGAGGCCAGCCTCAGTGAAAGTGACAGTGACAGGGGCCCCAAAATATTGTGTCCAGTGAAAGTGAGAGCTCCAATGAAAGTGCGAGTACCGGGACAGCCACATGAGGTAAAGTGGACAAAACCCCCACTTTGGGTAGGTTTACTGGTGATCCGGGGTGAAGCGGATGCCATTGGACCCAACGGATGTGACTGAAGTTGCGTCACTGTTTTTTGGAGATAGTTTCTTTGGCCTGTTATGTCAGGAGACTAACAGATTCTATCTGTTCAGAGACGCCACAGGCAAGTGAAGAAGCCTCTTTGTATTTCCAAGTATAATATGTTCATGAAGGGAGTTGATAGGGCCGACCAGTACTTGGCCTATTCTTCCCTTCCTAGGAAAACAGTAAAATGGACAAAGAAAGTTGCACTGTGGCTTATAAACTGTGAACTTTTCAATTCATTTTCGGTTTTCAAAAAGGTGAACAGAAATTCTACTTTGAAACACAGAGCATTTCTGTTGAACTTGGCAAAAGCTTGGGCTACTGACCTCATGGTGGCGGCAGTACCTGTGTCAGACACAGACTTAGTGCAGTCGGGGCCATCTGTTTGCACCCGCCGGAGGCCTCATGTGGACCCCCCTGGACAACTCTCGGGTGATATGCGGAAACATACCCTCGTGAGAATTGTGAAGAGTGAACATTGCAAGAAGAAGTACCCTTCTAGGCAGTGCCATGTGTGCGCAGTCCACAAGAAGAAGAATAGGACTGCGTACATCTGCAACTTCTGTGCCATGCCTCTTCACAAAGGGGAATGTTTCCAGAGATATCACATGCACAAGCACTTCTAGGAGCTCTGGTAAGTGTTCTCCAAAAATTTTAGTTCATAAAATTAATTAGGAGATTTTATATTCATTTTTAAAGTGAACAGTGCACAAGTTTGGGTGCTAGGTTTAAAAACCCCAGTCCCCAGGGTGATTTAAATATTTGAACAACCAGTCCGCAATGGGTGTCAGACTTCTGTAGTAATGGTGCTTTGGAAAGTGCTCAGCATTCTGAAAAAGTGTTACTAACTTAAAACAGACTTTTATTCTCTGCTACTTACACAGATGTCATAAATTTAAATACAGAGTATATGAAATTCCAGATAGTCATTTACTGTCACAAGTCAGCAAGTTGGAATAATTTGCAGTATATACTAATGACCATAATATTATAAAACCAGGGTTATCTCCAAGCGTGTCTTCTGGAAAAATTTAGCGGAGGCTAGAGACATTTAACATCCAAAAGAAAATCATGAAAATAATTGTAGACATTAAAAAGGGTCTCCTGTAGAGAATTATGTAAGAAATTCAATACACTTCCCTTTGATAGAAAAGTCTTGCTCTCATGACTGTCATTCACCCTGGACATTATGGAGAAATTGAAAAAAAGGAAAAAAAACTTCACACACATGCAATATAAACATGAGACATGGCAGCAAAGCAACGTACACATTTCTGTAACTTTTATTTTTCAATATGCCAGAAATCTACTTCAAGTTCATGTGTCTAAAACATCCTAAGGGTGTGTCATTATCAGATAGTGATGCAGAGCATTACATTATCATTAGGAAGTTACTATGTTCTATTTTCCAGGTTCGATCCCGGGTTTGGTGAAGTGGGATTTATGATGGACAAAGTGGCGCTGGGAAAGGTTTTCTCCAAGTAGTTCAGTTTCCCCTGCCAATCTTCATTCCACCAATTGCTCCACAATCACCCTCACCTATCTGGGGCTGGTACAGTAGGCCAGAGGTGGCCGCAGTACAAGGGACTTAGTCCCATCCCACTAGCAATAAAAAAAAAAATCTATTTTCAGTTTGTGATTGGAACCAAAATCGCCATACTGGATATCTCGTTGAACACAGGACATTTTTCTGTAAGGTTGTCTACTCAAGTTATGATGTACTCTCAGATGTGTTTTCGACAAAGTCTGTTTACTATTACACGTACATATGACTGCTGGAGAGTTGGGATCGAATTGGACGTAATTCCGCATTGAATGTGGTTCAATGAGACAGTACCTTACCTCTTCAGCCCACTATACAGTGAGTGCACTTTTTGAGATATTATTAATTATGGGCTGGGCTGTACCATGGGGGCATGCGGTAGAATGGTTGGGGCACTATGCTACAAGCTGGATGGTCATGGATCGATTCACGATGTCATTGGATTCTTCAAATGATCTAATCCTTCCAGGCACATTATGGCCCTGGGGTCAACTCAGCCTCTTTAACAGAAATGAGTACAGGAATCTTCCTGGGGGTAAAGGGTGGCTGGTATGTGAGGCTGACAACTTCATTGCTATCTGTGTCTGTGAGCCGATTGTCTAGAAAATGTTGAAGCCTCGACATCTCATAACCCTATGAGCCTCCACAGCCTGTTACTTTTTTCCCCTTCACCCCCTAGGCTATGCCATAGCTCAGACATCTTACTGCAAAGCCTTTCATTCAGTCCCTTGCGACATAAGATTCATTGTGGATGAAGTGACATTGGAGTAGGTTTACTTTTGAGTTTCTTCAGTTTTCCCCCGATAATGATCATTCCGCCATTGCTCCATCCTCATCTATCATTACCCCCTGAGATATGTGATAGCTCTGAACAGACACCATATTATCAAAATCTCAGTCTCTTAAGTTTAAGGCTTCATTGTTGACCTGGCACATAGTATACTACTGTATATAATGCCAATAGTTAATACTATATGGTGATGAATGGTAGGATGAGAAGTGAATAATGAACAGGAGACAAAGGAAGTGGTTATGGCCCAACATTTTGACATTTGCCAAAAGAGATTGAGGAACACAAAAGTCTTGTGTGACAGTTTTTATTATGTAGCACCAAGAACCTGTTGGCAAATTAACTTGCAGATCACCACCCGTCCATGCACCCGAAAGTAAATATGTAGTAGCCTGCTGGATATAAGCAATTAGTTACCTTACTGTATTTTTTGTACAGTTTTCAAATTAAAGTGCATGTACTTCACTGACGTATATATTTATTCTTATTTCCATGCTCTTCATCTGTATTTGGTGAACTTGCATTATTTTTAAATTATGGCCCTTTAGTTGATGCATTAAAAACTGGCACCCTGTCATCGGAGAAATGATGATCTGGCATTAGCACACCTGAAAATAGAGAATAAAAAAACTGCACTGAATCATCAAGTTCAAGATCAGCTTAGTATAGATGGAAATTCCTGGTTATCTAGTATACAAGCATCAGGAATTCGCATTCAAATGGCAAAATTTCAAAGAAAATTACCAATTTTATTAAGTTATTCCAAAACAAATTTGTGATGTGCAAATACATTGAACTCCCAAGTGCAGTGCCACCTGTTATTATCTTTCTCAAACAAGCACAATTACTGTAGAGGTTTGTTGAATATGTGATAATGTTAAAGCTTGAGTATCTTGAGATTTTCATCCATCAGTCCGATATCAGCTAGGAAGACTCCCAAACAATAATACTCGTATGTTTTCCTTTGTATTGGATTTCTCTAGGAGTTTTTCTCATGCAATTGGCAGTTCCGTGCAAACAGCAAACTCCATTCACCATACAATCTAGATAACAGGGTGTGGAAACATCCCACATATTTACATGCTGTTTTGCCGGTCTAACAGACAACACTCACTCCTAAGTCAAAATCACATTGCCACATATTGTGCTCATATTTATACAGCACTCGATGTCCAACCCACCTCTAGGTCATCACGTGCGCTAGCCAATCAGCGCTCACAATCGCAACTGCAAGTTTCGCTCCGCCCATCAAGCATGGTATAAAAGGCGGAGCCCAAAGCTCGCAATCATCAGTGATCACATTCAGTTCAGAGCGATAAGTCATCAGAGTCCTCAGCTCTTCTCTGCGACCAGGCAACTAATGCAACTCCAGCAACCACACCGTGGGCAGCTGGTTCTACTGGTGCATGTAACACTACATCACCGGCCAGACAGGCCAGCTGAATGGCCGTAAAACATGGCCTACTACGAAGGAAAAAACGGCCCTTTTCAGGGCCCGCAAATTTTTCAGAGTGGCTGTCTATTGGAACCTCAACAATCCCACAGGGGAGTTTACCATACTTACATTATTTTTATACACACAGACATAATCTTGCCATTGTCATATTTATGCTTTCCAAGAAAGGAAATAAAGCTCCTTAAAACCGGCTAGGCGTCCTTGTGACCTATGAGTATTTCATCAAATTTCGTGCCTGATTAATAATTTATTATCATCAGATCAGTGGATTTAAACTGAAGAGTTGTGATGACTAAGTTATGTTTATTGTTTTATTATATCACATCCTTAGTCTTGTTTACTATTCTGTTAAAGCATCACATTTTTGTGATGATTCATCAAATTAGTTTACATTGTATGGTTGTGCAGTTTGTATTTTATAAACAGGAGTTCAAGTAGTCAGTCATTGGAAACATACAAGGCATTGTATGAGACTGGAATTTTCTTGTTTTCCTTAACAGTTGACATTGTTTGGCCATTGTCATTACAATTCAGTCTTCTGCACTTCTGCATATTTGCATTTGATTAATGTTGGAGTGAAGTTTTCCTTTTTTATATTTATTATTACTTCATTATGTTTTAATTAAAGTAATGGTGGAGTAAAATATACATGTACATGCCTATATACTGCAGCCCTAGTGTTGCTACCACTTCAAGAATTCCTACAGTTACTGTGTTGATATCAACATTTCATGCTACAAAACCTTGCGAAATATATATCAATGAAGCCTGAACAGGCAATAATAGTGCTATATCATAATGATGATGATGATGCCAGTGATGATGACGATGACATAAGGTGGAGGCCCATTACTGTCTGAACAGGTGGGGCCAGGACAAAATGAAATTCCTCCCCATATCTCTAGAATTTACTTTTTAGACCACTTCCCTTATTTTGAAAAAATAAAAGTAAGCTTATGAGATCACCTTGCTGTCAGTGGTGTGTATGTCTGTGTATTTCCCCTAGCAACTTTTGAACACCCGTACCGATCTCGTGAAACTAGGCATGTATGTCATACCACCTTTTACCATCTCAACCGTATGCTTCATAAATCCCTCCCATAAGTAATACCAACATTGCAGCCTCTCAAATAACCATAACATTACGTGAATGCCTGAACTGATGGTCATGAAACTTGGTATGTACATAATGCCACTTGAGGTATTCTCAGTGATATAATTCATAAATCCCTCCTATCAGCAATACCAAGATTGCAGCATCTCAGACTGTATTGTTTCATTGGCTTTATTAAGAATATATATATATATATATATATACTAACATCCTTTTTTTATTTGTCAAATCAAATACTCAAATTGTAGTTAAAGGAAAGTAGGTGATTATTTCCTCCCAGAACGTCCTGTATGTTATATAGTACCTTTAATTCAGCAACTTGAAGCTCATTTTGTACTGACAACATATTAAACAAAGGGGTTGGGCCCCTGTGCGTTTGAACACTTTACCACTCTTGGTACAATACAGTCCTCCTTTCACCTAAGGGGAGGCTTGGCCCCTCTAGGCTTTATCTGAACTCTCTAATGCCCATGGGTTGATTTATGCAGACAGACAGACATGACATATTCTTCAGAAGGGATGCTTGCATGCTTGAAAATGCACTCTATTACATACCTGGTGAGTCTAATTACATTTTTCACACCTTTCTTTTGAGTGTTTTGATAATCATAGTGACAATGGTTTATGACACTGAATCACTTTTAACTTGCCTTCGAATTCATTCTGACATATTTTTACTTCTTCAGGTATGTATTTAGTATCAGCATTAAAATTATATTGTTTCCTGCTATTGTAATATCACCCTTGAATTTACTGCTGACTCAACACATTCCTGCATTTACATGACTACTTTCATATTTCGGCTTGCCTATGATATACTATATGTTGCCCCAATGCATATTAATTTTTCTTTGATTGTCCAAGGCAAAGACATGTGTTTCAACCATATTCATATAATGAATGAATGTATGTATAAGGGGTGGGCCTTCTTGGCCCTTGCACTGCAACCACAGTGATCTATTGTGCCTCCCCTTCTGATTATGTGGGGATGTCGAAATAGTCACTTTGTTCCATAAAATACTGACCCAAGTGACAATCTTAAATAAGCTAAGGCCTCACATTCACACAGGATATGTGTGGCTGTTTCATTTTCTTCTTGACACCTCTCACAAGTTGGACTATTACTTAGTCCCAGTTTGAAGAGGTGTCCTTTGAGGTGACAGTGTCCTGTAAGTAGTCCTACCACCCATCGTAGCTGGTTCCTGTTTAACTTCAACAGTTTCTTCGCTCTTTTAGTAGAGGGTCCTCATATGAGTCCCTGATTGCCTTTCTGGTAACTCCTATAGAGATGCCACAGGCTGGTTCAGGTCCTATGAACAGATGTTCAGCTCCACTCTTGGCCAATTGGTCTGCTATTTCGTTTCCAGCAATACTCTCATGCCCCGGCACCCATATCAGTTGTACCCTGTTATGTTTGGCCAGTTCCATGAGAGTTTGGTGGCAATCCCAGACCAATTTTGAGTTGATCTGGTGTTTGTCAAGTGCTTTTAGTGCAGCTTGGCTCTCAGATAGAATGTAGATGTTCCTATTTCTGTAGTTCCTATCTAGATTCGCCATAATACATGCCTTAATGGCATATACTTCTGCCTGGAATACTGTCGTGTACTGCCCGAGGCTGAAACTAAGTTTCCGCCTGGTGCCATTATTCATATAAACTTTGAATTCTATTTTAAACCATACACACATTTAAGCAATTTCTTATTAATCAGGTATATGTGTGTATATATATATATATATGAGTATTTACAGTGGGATAATATGTGCAAAATTTGTATATGTAACATACCAGCAATGCAGGCAGTAAGAAAGCAGGCCGCACTGCCAGTAATGAAGGCTCGAAGTGCTACTTCAGTTATAGCTTTTCTCTTGTTGGGAGCCATTGTTATCAGTGATCCAATTGAAATGCCAATTGAGCCAGGGTTTGAGAATCCACAAAGAGCATATGTTGCTATCATTTCTGAGCGTTGCTGTAATAAAGTATAATTCTATATCAACCATTTTGATTTACTATTGAAAGTCTACAAATAACATTCATATTAACTTTACACTTAAGACAGTATCGTCTTATCTGTTAGCATTATGAGCACTTTGTAGAACATTTTAGATGGAAAACCTGAAGGGAAGGTATTATGAGTACTTTGGAGACCTAGGCATAGATGGGAGGATAACATTACGATGGATCTTAAATAAAGTGTGAGGATATGGACTGCATTTATTTGGATCACGATAGAGTGCAATGACAGACTGATGTAAATATGGTAATGAGCTTTCGGGTTCCATAAAAGGTAAGCAGTTTCTCAACCAGCTCATAAAAATGAACAACAAGCAACAACAGCAGACAATATAAGCAACCTGAAAGTTCCTTCATTTAACTTTTAATCTGGCTGTGATGACTAATGGACCAATGTAAATAGGAATAAGAAATTTGCTAAGAAGGTAGATTATAAACATTCCTAAATTTATGCATAAAATACCGTTTGCAAGTCAACAATATTTTTTTTATTCCTAGTGGGGTGGGACTAAGTCCCTTGTACTGCGGTCACTTCTGGCCTATTGTACCAGCCCCAGATGATAGGTGAGGGTGACTGTGGAGCAATTGGTGGAATGAAGATTGGCAGGGGAAACCAAAGTACTTGGAGAAAACCTGCCCCAGCGCCACTTTGTCCACCACAAATCCCACTTGACCAGACCCGGGATCGAACCCAGGTCGCCGCAGTGGGAAGCCAGCGACTAACCCCTTGAGCTATGGTGCAAGTCAACAATAACAAAAACTTCAAGGTTTTATCTCGCAAGTTTAATATAGCCAGAATCAGAAATTAGGAAATAATTTTACCTATTCATAAAAAACAATGATGGTAGCCACTGTTACTGCTGCTGTTGTTACCATTGCTACCACCATGACTAATGCCACCACAATAGCCACTACTACTACTACTACTACTACTACTACTACTACTACCACCACCACCACAACAACAAAAACAATTAAGACTGCCACTGCCACTATCAACACCACTATTTTGAACAATTTTCTGTAAGAAATTTATGATACAAAGTAATTCTAATTCCAATAGGATTGAGTGGTATAACAATCTATGTAGTATGCAGGAGATCAGCATGGTAGCCTGTGAGCTAAATTGCGTTTCAGTGTTTTGGATTATGAACTTAGATTAACTAATAAAAACACAACTTAGGATTTACATTATGTAATTAAAATCACAAGACTTTTAGGACTACATGTCTGTGGTAAAAAGGTATGCTTTATGAATTCTTCTGGAATTTATGTAAAAACAATCTGTAATATTAGAGGTGATGAAAACTGATATCAAGATACAAACAATAAAATTAAAAGCTCCCTTACCGAAAGTTTATTGGCCAACTTTAGCTTCCCAAGCTGCTCATAAGCTACAAACTCATTCACTATAGTCTTTATTCCAATCAGTCGAGCCACATCTTCACATTCTTTCCATTCTACACCCATTACCCATGTCAATGGAATAAAAACTTTGCTCAGTACATACTGAAACCAATAATATTAACAGCAAGTTGGAAGGTTTTAAAAATAATGTTTACAATATATGTAAAATGTAATGATCAATTTTCTGGATGTTATTCTTCATTAATAAATCTTCTCAGGCTCTCAGCTACATTAGTTTGTCAGATTTTATTTACTTCAGCCACTGTGAAAGCTTCAGCTCTTACATTATTCATTGTCATAATTTGTTTATGTTTGTTTAAAATAAAATATGAAGATGATGAATAATGTCCAGAAAATTGATCATCCGATTAACATACCACTGTCACAGACTTTTAGATCCTATTTAAGTAAAATGTGTTTCTGTATGTATTGGTCTAGTACTACTAAATAAATTGTTCTGAAACTAGGAAATAAATGCAGCATATTAATTTGCCAGATGTAATACGAACATGTATTTGTTTTTTACCTCAAAAGTTAAACCTTCTGCACCCACAAGCATACCAAGCCAGGACAGAATTCCATTGAGGAATGAAATAAACGAAACAAATGCAATAACATTGGCAATAATTCCCAGCACTAGTTGGGCAGCAGTCACTGCTCCTCTGGTAGCTGCATCCAGGACACTGCATTCATCACTAAAATAACAATTATTAAACACAAAACCAATCAGTCATGCTTTATATTTTTTGTTCTATCAAATGTGTGTACATATTCTGTTCAGGTACTCAGCTCTACATGAATCATAAATGTGTAAAAACTACTTGAAAACTCTTGAAAATAATGTTATATAATCCATGCTGTACATTGTCACTTTTAGGTACCTCTTTTATGAGTAAGCCTTATTCATCAGTTTGTTATTACATAACTTTGCAAATAGATTTTGGTTAATTGTATGCTGGGTAATATTAATGTAGAAGCTGAAAATATTTTGAATTGGTCTGAACAGTCATGATTGCCATCTTGAAACCCTAAGGGTACTGCAAAATATGGTTGCCCTGCACTATTTCTCTCAAGACATGTCATGGATTTATTATTGCGGTATGCTTCATCTGTGGGTTTGCAGACTTACCCCTTCTCAATTATCATGTTCTCAGCTTTGTTCTTGCTCTCTTCTGTTTCTGGGTAGAAGAGTTTGGAATAACACAGGGCAGCTGGAGCAGACATGACTGATGCTGTTATAAGATGAGCAGGTGAAACTCCAAAGCTTATATATGCTGCCAAGACTGAGCCTGGGGAAAAAGAAATATATATATATAATTACTGACTGGTTGTAGTAATATGGTTTTCACAGAATCTACATTTTCTTTCCCTCTTATTGCTTTCTTTGGTATGTGTTAATTGGATTTTTTGTTACATATTTGCTGAGGAGATGATTCTACACTAAGAACAATCTTTCACTCTTACCGAATTACCATTACTATTTCATTTATATCAAATAACCTTTATGGTATGCAGTGAAATTTTTAGATGGAGCAACTATGAGGTAAGCTTATGTTACAGGTCGAACCCACACACATCTTCCAACCTTCTGTTGTTTTAACTCCCCCTAGTGTACCTGACCATTGTGCTAAGCAGTCATTAACTCAATCATATTATTTTCCGTGTCAAAATGCCATGTGAAGTAAGCAACTGAATAATGAGTGTAAAATACCAGAGTGAAAAGCAATTCTGAAAGGAAAGTAAGAAGATTCGAGTGTAATTTTCAGGATGTTATAGTCATACATACAGAAACTGTTTGTAGAATTTTAAATAAATCAAGACAGATATAGTCATTACTGGTCATCTATGGCCATGCCATATCTCAGGCAGTTAGTCATTGGCTTCCCACCATGGCGGCCCAGGTACAAGCCCTGGGGTGGTCATGTGGGATCTGGTGGACAAAGTGGCACTGGGGTAGGTTTTCTCCAGTACTTAGGTTTCCCTTGCCATCTTCATTCCACCAATTGTTCCACAATCACCACTATCAACCATCTCGGGCTGGTACAATAGATTAGTAGTGGCCACAGCACCAAGTGGACTCAGTCTCACCCCACTAGTCATTACTGGACAAAAAAATTTAATTGAAAGTTGAATGCTCAATTAAAAGAAACTGGATCAAACTGGTACTAGACTTGAACATTCTCCTCAGAAATCCCACAGATGCCATGCACAAGAGATGAGAGGTTCAAAACTGTCAGGAAGAACTACCACATATTTCATTCATGAAAGTGGAGAACAGATTCTGATCAGTAACATTACAGATTAATTGATATGAAGAAGTGTAATTGTCCCATTGCAAGTTTTTCATCAACAACAAATAAATATCACGGCCACTGAGATCTGTAAAATTGCACTTGGAAAAAGTATATACCTACTTGAAGTTGGAGTCTATTATGTCCTTTAATGTATAAGTAATCTATCTCCTTTGTAGGCTTACTTTCATTTTTGCATCAAATAACATCTAAGCTCTTCAGTTGAAAATGACTAAGTGTTCCATGAAACATACCAGCAACTGTAGCAAATCCTCCTGCCATGATGGCATGCATCTCAGACTTTGTGAGATCATTGAGATAAGGCTTAAATAACAGCGGTGACTCTGACTGAAATAAAGGCAAAATGTTGAAAATTAACCCTTTTGGTGCATACCTAATTTTCAGGCATATTTCCTAGAAGTAATAAATGCACAATGTGAAAAATGAACTCCTAACAATCATGCTGGAGGTAGTGGTGGCATTGGCAGGAGCAGCAGCAGTGGCATTGGTGGTGGTGGTGGTGGTGGTGGTGGTAGTAGTGATAGTTGTAATAGCCTGAACCACTTCAAACCAACTTATTAATCAAAATATTTATTTTAATATTATCATTCCATCTATGCCTCTGTCTCCCAAATTATTTCTTTCTATGATTTTTATTTTATGATGCTGTCAGTATCTACACTACATAATATAGCATCAAATGGTAGGATGATTGATGGATTGAAAAGGATTTGGATGGAAGTGCTCATGGTCTAATCATGGTACTCCCCTGGAACTTGCCTGGAGGTGTTGAGGAAACCACAAAAAAACTTAGTTAAGATAACCAGTGTCCTGGCTTGGCATGCGGTAGCGTAGTTGGTTGAGGCACTAAACTACAAGCTGGAAGGTCGCGGGATCGAATCCCAATGAGGTGGATTCTTTCAGTTTACCTAATTCTTCCAGCTGCATTATTGCCCTGGGGTCGACTCAGCCTCTAACAGAAATGAGTGCCAGGAATATTCCTGGGGGTAAAGGGTGGCCAGCGCATAA